TGATGTTGGCGTAATGGTACGGGCAATGTGCCAAGCGTACATTATTATACTAGTTGCAATATTGGACGTGCGTGACGTATTTCATTGAGATCCACGTGTTGGATAGTGTCTGTATTTTTAACTTGTTTAATGGTCTCGTGTAAGACATTGCGTAATAGATTACTTAATGTCTCGCACTTGACCATTAAACTACACTTAATGCTCCTTAGCCTAAAGCAGACAATTCTCATCATCGAACTTAGTTAAAGGAGCTAAATCGACAAAATTTGGGACCTAGAAATTGACAAAAATGGGTCGCAACGCATATAATAATGTAATATGAATGTATATAAACTGATTTACATTCAATCGTTTCTGTTTTTACTGTAATTTCTAATCAGTTATGTTCGGCGAAATACGCCAGAAGTCTCATGTGAATGGCAATCTTTAGCGTCTGGTTTTTCCAGTCTACACCGATGGTATTTATTGCGCATGCTCTCCAGATAAGAATATAGAGTCACCATTTGACATGACTTGTGGAATATGTCTAGCCCTGTTCTTTGAGTCCCCTGTTCCAAATGGCGCTGAAACGCATTATGGTACACGATTCGTGTACCAATGGTAAAATGTTAATTTTGTCTTGAATATTGGATATCAGAAGCCCACCTTTTCCCTGTAAGATCACAAGATCAATGTTGATTTGAATTGACAAATAATTCGTGTTTTCAATGTCGAAAATTTTTGATGATATTGAGTTAGAGACTTAGCTACTTTAAGGTAATGATATAATTAATCAAAGTTATCGCTTCCTAAGCATCAACAAATCCGATTGCTTATCTCTGCTTACCGTAAACAGACAATGGTTATCATCGACCTCCATCAGGGCATTCACCTTATGAACGCCTACACCAATTTTGAACATTTTACCTCAATTAGAAGGAGAATTATTGTGTTCTCAAGTATCTCCCAATCAAATAGCTTATCGCTCTGCTTACCCTGAGCTGTAAAGGTATTGATGTGATAAAACTTCACACCAATTGTCCTCACTCTCACTTAATTAGAACTAAATCTATCGTGTCCTAAAGTATCAACCAATCAAATTACTTATCTCGGCTTACCCTAAGCCGAAAATTCTCATTTTCGAACTCCATCAAAGCATTCACCTAATAAACACCTACGCCAAGTTTGAACATTCTAGCTCAATAAGAATGAGGGTTATTGTGTTCCAAAATCTCGACCAATCAAATTGCTTATGGCTCTGCTTACCCTGAGCAGAAAATGCCCATTGATGTAATAATAGGTATTGATGTAATAAAACTATACACCAAGTTTCATCACTCTCACTTAATTAGAACTAAAGCTATCGTGTCCCAGAGAATCAACCAATCAAATTGCTTATTTCTGCTTACCCTTAGCAGAAAATGCTCATCTTCGAACTCCATCAAGGCATTGACCTAATAAACACCTACACACAGTTCGGACGTTCTTGCTCAATTAGAAGGAGAAATATTATGTTCCAAAGTCTCGGCCAATCAATTGCTTATCGCTCTACTTACCCTGAGCAGAAAATGCTCATTATCGACCTTAGTCAAGGTATTGATGTAATGAAACTATACACCAAATTTCATCACTCTCACTTAATTAGAACTAAAGTTATCGTGTCCCAAAGCATCAACCAATCAAATTGCTTAACTCTGCTTACCATGCTCATCTTCGAACTCCATCAAGGCATTGCCCTAATAAACACCTACACCAAGTTTGAACATTCTAGCTCAATTAGAGGTAGAGTTATTGTGTCCCAAAAAGTGTGGCGGACAGACAGACGGACAGACAGACAGACATTCAGACAGACAGACAGTCGGGAGAACCCATTATAATATAAAACCAATACAAGCTTTATTGCAATTTAATTTAAAGGTTCTCTCAAATCAAGAACCATCATGAGGTATCATTAAATAAAAATCAGGCTGCGAATAGACAAGAAATCATTTGAATTAAACTCACTATCGGAATCAATAACCTTAGACTAAAGTAGTCATATTGCTATTAATTCATAATAGCCAACTAGTCCAGTGTTTTCATGGGGTTAAACATGGAGTCAAGACAACAAATTATTTTCACCTGCGTAGACTCATAGTCACTTTAAAGACGGTTAAAAATAACTTTAAGAAGATAATGAGTATTGGGGCGTATATTGACTTTTATTTTGTAAAACATAAATTAATCATATAAGTAGAATAAATGTTAAGTCATGTGTATATTTAATTATACTTGACGCTGATTATATCAATATATTAAATATGAACTAGACTCATAAAACACGATAACCGTCTGAAGTAGTAACTGTATCAATCTGCCGAAAAATACCCATATATTTGGTAATTTGTGATTAACAATAACCCTGATTTAATATCAACTTGACTACAGTAGGTATAGTTCATCCTGATCACTTTATCGACCAACTAATTCTAAAAAACAACGCGTCAAACAAGCAATTCTGAAAAACAACAATAATTTCTAAATAAAAAAACACCGTGTCGAACAATCAATTCTGAAAAACAACAATCAATTCTAGAAAACACTGACTCGAACAAACAATTCTAAAACAACATTGTGTCGAACAATCAATTCTAAAATAACGTGTCGAACAATCAATTCTAAAAAAAAACACTGTGTCGAACAATCAATTATAATTAACAACGTGTCGAACAATCAATTCTCACAAACAGACGTATGTAATGAGATCAAGGGGTTTTAATGAAAACGCACGACAATGAGCTTCGGTAGAGTTTATGCTTAGTCAATATAAAAAAAACCCATAACCAATAGAAGTTTAAAGAACCCGCGGACAAGAGACAATGGCGTTGAATTTATTTAATGTGTTAACAGATAAATTATCTACACGAGATCCAATTCTTTTCCTGCAATATAACACTCAATCGAGTTGATTCGACCGCCTAATTTTTTTTTAAATTAAGAAGCGGGCGCATCGATTTTTTGCAACTTTAATTAGTAGCGTCTAAATGTTTTTATTCTAACTTGTCAACATCCGTATTGACATTATTACCAAGATAAAAGACAACGTTGACAAAACAGATCATTTTGTCCAAGTATAGAATTGAATCCAAAGTACTGGGATAATCACATTTCAAGTTTTTATAATTACAAGGGACTATTTCTGGCAGGATAATGTTGAGGTTTATCTATATGTTTGACACTAAATTCATCACACATTGCGACACTATGTTAAATAATATATTAGCTTATGCACTGATAGGATAATGACTTTACTATGAGCGCACGTGAATAATAGCTTATCATTGAACACGACTCCTACTCAAGAACATTCGGATTTGTGACTTTGTCGAGAATAATTTGTGTTGATTTTAGATACCGATTGAGATTGTCATGATAGGGTTTATTAATCGTTAAAACCTACTTGCACTGTGCCTTGTTTTTATTAATTGTTTGGTCATGATTTGATTTATTTTTGTAAAACGAAGTTTTTTTTATATAAGGGACATTTTTCAAACGACCAAGGTAGGTCTAGTCTGCCTTGTGTCTTAATATAGCGCAGTTTGTAAAACGAAAAGTTTTTATATGGTGCATTTTTCACCTGGCCAAGGTGATCTGTCTTGTTTCATTGCAAAGTGCATTTTTAATGTGGGTTCAAACATAGCAATCCTCATAAAAAGACAACAGAAAGGTAAAATAGCGTTACTAATGAACGAATATACGCCCACCAGCCGTTTTCTAAAGATATATAGGGTTATTTGGGTAACGTGAACGGAGCAATAACTCCAACCAAGAGGTTTCAATTAACATCTCCTCCTTAGGACTAGCTCAACAATCCAAATAATTTGGGTAAACAACTTAATAACAGTTCTGGCCATAGTGTGCGCAAGGTTTTGATAACAGGGGAAATAATTCTGCAAACATTCATGGGCAATTCTTAATTCCTCCATATTACTAGCAGATCCCAACCAGTTTAGACAAAAATATCAAAAATTCGTTTACGGAGTTTATTGTGAACGAACAGACTGGGACGCCGACAATATGCTCTCGTATTTTAAAATATCGGAACAATAAGATTCAGATATATGCCCGTTATATCTTAAGTAGATACTTTACAAAGCTAGGATACGTATAATATGATAAAGTGCTTAATTTTCTATTTTATATGCACTCGTCCAAGCCTCGCTTCTCCTCTCCGCTCTTCTGTCCTCGCCTTTGTTAGTCCCTAATTGTAAGCAAACTCCTGGTTATATAGCCTCCGACAATAGGGAAATAGATAAGACTCACGATCAGACGATGGAATTGTCTATTTATCACGTCAAGGTTATGATTACTGACCAGTGCGTATTCCTTTGAAGTCATGCGGAGCTTGTACACAGATCATAGTAGTTTGTAAATGACAAATGGGATTAATTACATGTTTAATTAGAACGTAACTTATCAAAACCAGCTGGGGTCAATAAGTTCACAGAATCTTAATAATAGTTCGCATTTTAAAAAAAATAGAAAATTAAGCACTTTGTCACAATAATTAACTCTTCCGAACATTTATTTTACAACTACCACACTATTGTTCTGATATTGTTAGCATTTATATAATTAATGAAAGGGTTTCACTGAGGTTGTGATCTTAGCACATATTTCATAATCAGAATGTCCCGTGTATTTTGCATCTTAGGTATTAGGTATTTTCTATGATGTATAACAACACTTTCAACATACATTTAGTTTTGGCCCTTAAATCCCGCCATACAATCATTACCATACAATGAGAAGTTGGAATATGAGTATAAGTTATTGTACAACTATAGTAATATGTTTATGTTTCAAGCTATTTGTGCATGAAAAACAATCAAATATTGTATATAAATAAATAATCCATATTAACAATTCGGTTCACTAAGAGTTCTCATTCCGGAAGATAAATTAATTAGAACATAAAATTATGCCTCACTATAATTAAACGAAACGAAGCATATTTATTATGAATGTAAATTAAGACTTACATCGCATATGGTATCAGCTGTATGTTCAAATTCATCAATATTGCTGTGAATAAATGTTACTTTCTTCCAGTTAAATAACCTCAGTATGGACACCACACTTTTAGATATTTGAGAAACAGTTGGTTTGGTTCTGGCGAAAGTTGGATATAACTCTTTATCACTTACTTCATTCTCGGAGCAAAACTAAGAAAATATAAAACATATAATTAGAAATCATTATGATTAAACTAAATTGTTAGATACATTTGTGATCGCAAAGTTAGGTTTTACATAGTTTGATGTTTTCGTACTCGAGAGAGAGAGAGAGAGAGAGAGAGAGATGGGTTTAACGTCCAGGTCATTTCGGGACTAACATATGGTTTAATTTTATTTCAATAATTCGCTTGCGCTTAGGGGTCTTTAGCAGTGGGAAGAAACCGGAGGACACGGAGAAAACCCACGAGGTTGGACATGCGACCCTACTCCTTGTCACGGACAACCGGGTATTCGAAACCACGCCAGTTGAATCAACGACAGGCCTTATGATACAGCGCGCACATGCTAACCATTCGGCCATCCACCCCCCGGGTGGGATTGGGGTATTGTTAAAATTAAAATGTGGCGTATAAGAAGAGTATAGCCAAAAGAGTATGCAAATTAATTTTTAGCAAATGAAAATATCATTGAGCTTAATTATGTTATACACAGGGGATATTCGTTTTGCATACAAAAGATAGTTTTCGGTATATGGCTACATTTCTCTATAATAATAAAAAAACATGCATCCTTGTGAATGGTAATGACATTTTAGAATAGATGTAGTTGCAGATTTTTTAAATTCCTTTTTCAACTCCAAATTCCTTATTCACGTAGCGAATTACGATGAACACTCAAGGTTCATTATTTAACAGTGTGACATTTCGATAACTCGATTATATTAGCAATACAGTAAGACCGAAGGTCACAGCAAGACCTAAGTTATATTTGAGTGGTTTCAAACCTGTAAGGAATAAAATTTCTCGAGTCATGGTGACGGGAGGAAGAATGAAGTCACACATAGAAAGTGAGCGGAAAGAATAAATTGAAGTTTAAACTCTCGTCAATATTCCGTCTCTAGTTCAAACGTGTGCAATAGAATTTAAGAGAACTGTTCGAATCCCAGATGGCTAAAAAAAAGGTTTCTTGTGTACGACGTGCGTATACAATAATAAATGAAATTGGGTTTGACGTCCTACTTTTCTGGACATGCGCAATGCAGTGTGCTCTTCTTTTGAACTCCAACTGTCAACAGTTCTTTGACTTGCGCGCCATTGTGTACAGGAGACCGGTCGCGTTTTTTTGACCCATCCGAACGACTAGTCAGTCGGTGTGCAAGGCGCTTGATCACCAACCAGGGAGTCCGGGGTTCGATGTCAGTGTTGGCCGAGAAAGTTACCTGGGATTTTTCAGCGTGATTTCCCCTTGTCAGTAGTATAGGACGGAGCTAGCAAGGAACAGCGTCTAGTCGTTCGGATGGGAAGAAAAACCGAGGTGAAAGTCAAAGAACTGTTAGCGTGGACGTAAAAGATCCCTTGGCAGTTTTGATTCGATTGCTGTTCCCACAAAATATCTCCACATAACACTCTAAAGAACCATTGGCATTGGAATTCAATTACTGTCCGAGAAAAAATTCCCTCATATACAAAAAGGCGCATGCAGGTGTTCATTATCCAGGTTGGTGCATAATAGTAGGACGTTAAACCCCGTTTTATTAATTCATTCAATCATTCAATTGATACATTAACTATATCGTTATATCACTGAAATGAATTGCGGGATCTACATACACAATGTATGTGTATCTGGATGCTGCCTATATACGTTTATATCAATATCATGAGATCCATTATTATTATACAGGTCATTAATGTTTCCATTGCTTTCATTGCTGTTCCTCTTTGTATGTTGGACCTGATGGTACTGATAACTCTATAATCAAATTCCCTTATTTAAAAACAAACTCTACGGTGGCCCATTAATGGCATGCTTATTTTCATTTTTCTGAATTTTCTCACATAGTTTCTTCAAATCTAGCACATTTTTATAATACCCACATTTCGCTGATAGATTTCCATATTACTTTCATAATGTAAAGCGGATATAAGAACGGTGCGAAAAAAAAGGAAAGATCAATCTCTTAAGAAACAAACTAATCAATTTCTAATCTTGTATATAAGTATATCTAAAACGGGAAACAAAACACAATCAAAACAGTGACATAGATTTATGACCGGAGTTTATACCTGTATATAGAGATCTAGATCTTGTCAACTAGAAGGAATTACAAAGCGCACTTTATTCTTGTTTCAACATAAATAAACCAAGAAAGCTAACACTACAAGGGATCTAAAAATATATATAACGTTATCTGAAACAAAATCAAAATATTTAAAGCAACGTGATCGTTTGGATTTTATTGAACGTAAAATAATAAAGTATAAAATTGGGAATGAATAAATGAAATGAGGTTTAGAGTCCTATTTTTCTACACATACCGGGATAATGAAGACGGTTATACGCCATACAATGTGCTGTGAGGGGAAATTGACGTCCATGTTAATGTGTACACGAGCCGTGGCCTCGGTTTTTGTTCCATCCAAACGACTAAATGCCTCCCCTTGCCAGACTGTCCGTCCTGTACCACTGACAAGGAGAAACCATACTGGAAAACCCCGGGAAGCTTTATCAAACAACAACCGGGATCGATCCCGTCCCCACTCGTTAGTGAGCCATCGCCGAAACATTGGGCCACCGTGTCTCCCGTATATTATTTTAATTTGTAATATGACAAGCTCTATACTATTTCCCGTCTTCATTAGCCCAGTCGGAGCAGAACAGTAGGACGTTAAACCCCATCTCATTTTTCTGTACTTTTTAATTTTCATTTCGGCAGAGAAATTTGACTGCTTTGTTTCATTTTGTACTTAAATTTTCAAAATATTAGTTATACCTCGACATTAGCTTAATCTGCTGGTGTTTGTTATTTATTGTATACCCATCTCGCAAATCAAAAAGTCTTTTAGAAAAACGACGTTTTATATCTTAACCAAATAATATATCGACCAATAAAAGAATTCAGTGCCGGAACAAATTAAATTTATTTTTGTTTATACTGGAGAGGGGTCAGCATATGCCTATCCTGTTTAAATCCAAATTTAAAATGAAATAAAATGGGGTTTTTTATAAACTAAAATACAAATTTACTTGGCATTCTGTTTCTATGTAACTTGTACATTTGAACTTTGTAAATTTCGTCGAAGAGCTGGAGTGGTGTGGTGAATATTATTTCGATTCAGATATGAATCCCAGATGACTTTAGAAGTCGTTTCAAAATTTTCTCGGGGGAGGACAATCAAGCAGCCTCACCTCACCCCAGCCCTAACCAAATATCATGCGTTAGCCACTGAAAGAGTTAAATGAAGTCGTGAGATATATTTTATTCAATAATACAATTTAGATCCGGCAATAATTAGTTAAGTAGTGCCCAACTGAAGCAACTCGTGGTAAGTGAGGTGAACCTTGTTAATTAATTTCCGTATTAGTATTTAGCATGTAGTCCCTCATTAATTTTGCTCATCAGAGGACTGAAGATGGCATGATGATAGCAGCTTGTGTATGTTATTGTGTATCCATGGAAATTATAGTCCTTATCATCAAATATTCATGATTTTCTTACATTCTGTAGACATCTATAAGAATTAAACAGGTTTATAGACAGTAATTGCGGTAGATCAAATGATTGAATATTCCCCTTGTCACGCGCGTCTCAAAATATAAGCATGTTGTATGGCGCCAACATGAGTAAATACGGCTACAAGGGAAACGCATTCATACGTAACAAACTATCATAATATTATATTTGAAAGGAATGGGTTTAAAGTCTCAACACAATATATTGGCAATTTTGAGAATGACACAGGGTAAGTTCCATTTCAATGGTAACGTCTGCAAAGCAAGATGGTGGAGGGGGTGCAGCAGCGTGTCCGTCAAGACTTATTCGAACTGCAATTAAAGAGCTCAGGTGAACCTCGTATTTTCGTCCCTTTCGAATGTCTAGGCACATTTGCTATATTGTCCTTGTCTTGACTTACCGGACTAATGAAGACGGTCTGGTATTTGGAAGATAGAAGAAGAGAAATAAATATGACACACAGAAGTAATCAATAACAGTATGGCTAATTCATACACTTCCCGTCATATAAAGATCATAATATTTGATTTCTAGCTGGGGGATTCTTATTAGTATCATATTCTCCTTACGTCAGACTTGACTGTCCAGACCAGGGGTGTCAAACATGAGGACCGTGGGCCAGATCCGGCCCGTCAAGGGTTTAAATGTTGCACGTGGAAAAAATTTCAACAAACTGACGTTTCGATAATTCTTAGAAACTAAAGCGGTGGAAATCATTTATTATTGTTTTCCGATTTCACTAAAACTCTGACTTCTGTACTAGACTAAAACAAATTACATTGAAAATTACTCAGGTGAAAATAAAAATTGACTGTTGTGAAAATTATCGAAAACAAATTATATTAAAATTGGCAGGGGTGAAAAAATTATATTAAAAATCACTTGGGTGAAAATTATAATTGACTTGGGTAAAAATGGCTAAAAACAAATTATATTAAAATTGACTTGGGTGAAAATTAAAAAAAAATTGAAAATTATTTTTCGTATCCCTTATCATCCCACCGTAGATATTTCATAGATGTCTAAGTTGTATGTAATACAAGAGAACGTTGTTTTTAATATTATATCTTTGCAATTTGTAAACCAGTCTGTATTGTATTGCATTATAATATATAACGATTTTAGGTTCATGTGGCCCATGAATCGAAATGAGTTTACACCCCTGGTCCAAGCGGGCGAAGGCTATAACAATAATCCACAAATGAAGCTGATGCCTCTCGTCCCATTTCCCCTACCCCCAAATTAAGTATCACTGCATGTCACTCTGCTTATCAACAGCAGAAAATGATCGTTATCGAACTTATTTAATGTCTTCATTTAATGAAAGTATACACCAGGTTGCATCCATCTTAGCTAATTCGCATCAAAGTTATCATGTTCCAAAGTCTCGTTTAATTTGAATTGCTATAACGCTCATTATCGAACTTAATGATGGTACTGGTGTAATGAAACTATACACCTACACTGTAAAAAA